ATATATATATATATATATATATAGTTGAGGTCCAAAACAATCAAAATAAGGCGTACCTCTAAACAGTATCGAGATGATTTTTTAGTAGTAGAAACCTTTGTAATCACCTAAAAATTTATTTTCATCTCAAATAATAAAATTTATAGCTTAAAAAATAATGTAGATCTGGCATATCTATAAACACTTGAAAATATTGAAAATTAAGCATTACAAGATGCACTGTTTGCCAGACTTGCGATCCATTTTTTTCATGTCTATACATCTTGTGGTTGAGATGATCGATTTGAGGGTTTATTGATATTGAAACCTTTCTAGTGAATTTTGAGGTGCCCCTTAGTTTAATTGCTTAGGGCCTCAACCTTATATAAGCTTTTTCATATATATATATATATATATATATGGAAGATACTACAAAATGCCTATAAGCGAAAGTGAACAGTGATTTTGCCTACCCGCATCACCATCCAAACTTCATCGTAAGGTCACAGTTGTCCAGTAGTGTTTCAATTTTCATTTTTTTTTTATTAATTGGAATGATCTGAAATTTGGAGCATGCGTATATCTTAGTGAGGTACACCTAATAAAAATATGAAAAAATAATTCGCAAAATATAAATTGACCAAAATACCCCCATAAAGGTAAAGAGGTATTTTGATCAATTTATATTTTATGAATTATTTTTTTCATATTTTTATCAGGTACACCTTACTAAGATGTACACATGTTCCAAATTTCAAGTAATTCGGATTTGTAGAACAAAAAAGAAAATTGAAACACTACCAAACAACTGTGACCGTGCGATGAAGTTTGGATGGTGATGAGGGTAGGCAACTGTTCATTTTCACCTATAGGCGTCGAGAAGAGTTTTCCATATATATATATATATATATATAGAGTAATGATCCTATAGGACCCTCTCCCACCCATGTGTGTAGGACCCCAAAGGATCACCATTAAAGTTGGCACGGATCTCTGGAAAAGTTATCACATGGGTGTAGGACTTGACTTTTCTATAGATCCGTGCCAAATTTAATGGCGATCCATTGGGGTCCTACACGCATGGGTGGGGGAGGGTCCTATAGGATCATTTATCATATATATATATATATATATATATATCATTTCATATATTTCAATAATATATCATTCTTTTACACACATTACTCTCCCTCTGTCTTTTTCAATCAGAGTTCATCTTGTTTACATTTGTGAGTATTTGTCTGTTCGTGTAATGTTAAATCTAATTGTGACTGCAGGGTGGATATATCTGGGGGTCATTTCTTGCAATCTTTCTTCCATGGAGTGGTAACATTGCAGGTATTAACTTTCATTTTCTTTTGGGTCATGCTTGTTATTAGTATTTTTTGAATATTTTAACCATAAGCAGTGCATATAACTTTCTTATTTTTGGGGTCATGCTTATATTTAGGACTGGTTTTGATTTAGTTCTAGTCCTCTATTACCACAAAGTTAACTACTTATGTAAATCATAGAAAACTTCACATTAACCAATGGGGAAAACATATAATTCATATGCCCCTTTGGAGTATTTCATTATTTCACGGTTCTCTCATGGGAAAATATTATGCAATCCAATAGACCTCTCAAAACAATCATGTATTTCATTTAATGTTTTCCATAGTACATTGGGTTGTAATATACTTTTCATTCCATCATTACTCCGGCATGGCTGCCATTCTGTTGACACATGTTCAACGGATTGTAACAGGATGTACAGAAGAGTTTGCCTTTCCATTGCACCTCACGATTGGATCCAACATCGGTGTGCCTTCTTGTTCCTGTTCTTCTTCTTCTTTGTCCCTGTTCTTCTTCTTCTTTGTCCCTTTTGTTTCAATTACAATAGAAAAGCAACACAGGTAGATGGGCGTATGAAACTGAAACAAGGATCGCATTGCAGTGTTTTTTCCCACAGAACCTGATATCGAACATACGGACCCCGCTTTTCATTTTGAATGCAGCGTATGATTCATGGCAGGTAAATTCTATTCCTTGTGGAATCTTATTTTTCAAGTTAATGGCATTCATGTTAATAAATTAACCGGTACGGTACTCTGTATAAAGTTATCATTTAGAAAGAACTCGTTAAAGAAAAGAGAGAAAACCAAAGAAAAATATTTGTCTTCTAACTGGGCCTGCAGTCAGAATGAAACTGCAAAACATATGCTGGGAAAGTGATACCTGGTAATGGTACGCGAGATTGGGTAGTTTGCTCGATATGAACCGTTGGGGTTACTAACCTGAAAATTATTAAATATGGTCATTTTGGCTGCATGAGAAAGTGTAAGTGTTCCCACCATAATCCGAAAGATATAGGGTATTTTCAATCATTTGTGGAAATGTAATGGGGTTAGAGCGGATTATACTTTTAGTACACTCCAAGACATAACCGGAACGGCCCTTCATAACCCATGAAATTATCAGAGAGAAAAATATGAGGGAAAAGAGCTTCCTGGTAGTAGTATGAGAGATTGGTGAGCTTGCTCATATCATATGAATCATTGGGTTTACTGCCCTCAAAATTATTGGATAAGTGGAATTCTGTTTTTAGTATAGTCATTTCTTTGCATGAGAAGATATAAGCTATCCCAGTTAACATCTTCAAAACAAAAAGGTTAACATCTTTAAAAAAAAAAGATATAAGTGATCCCACCATAATCCAAAATATATAGAGCAGTTTCATTCATTTGTGAAAATTCTGTAGAGTTCAGAGTGGATTATACTTTCAGTAAATCAGTCTGGGACTTCTTTTGGGGCACCTTTTAGCACCCCATGAAATCAAACATAAGCCTACATCCAGTGTCCAGGAGAAATCTCAGAATAAAGAAATCTGTGGTGAGAAATATGACTTAAAACGACTTCTAATGTCATTATGACTTCCAAAATACAGCCAGAAAATCTCTTCAGAAAATGTTTTCAGTGGCAATCACAATGATTGTCATATAGCATATCCATTGTGCTCTGGAAAACCATGTCCACTGTACTCGGGAAAACCATGTTCTATTGGGGTTCTGGACATCTGATGAAATGATAGAGAGAGAATGGGACAAACTGGAATAGGACATGACCCTAATGGTGGATGCCTCTCTGTCGTCGTCTGTAATTTCATCAGATGGTTGTGAACCCGACAGACAACGGTTTCCCATAGACTGATTTTCATAGTCCATCGGACTATTGTATACTTTTCCTTTTTTAAGATCTATTTTACTCTATCCTCACTCATTGAATTTGTTCTTCAGGTTGTAGATAGTCTGGCCCCACCATCTGTTGATCCTCAAGGTAAATGGCGTGCATGCAAACAAAATCCAGAAAATTGTGATGCATCTCAGATCCAGTTTCTTCAAGGTTACTGCTCTTCCTGTATTTTCTGTATAACTGCTATTGTTTCTCAAGTCAAAAATTCAGCACTAGAAGTTAAATAAATTTTCGTAGTGTTACATGCAAGGTTTGCGCTGATTTTATTTTGTTTAATTCCATTGAGAATCTTTGAGTAATTTCCCTGTATCCAGGTTTCAGGACGCACATGCTGAATTCCCTTAGAAGCTTCATTCAGAAAGCTGAAAATGGATTATTTTTGAATTCATGTTTTGCTCATTGCCAAACCGAGAGGCAGGATACATGGTTTGCAGATGACTCTCCACATATTGGTGGCAAGGTAGATAACTAGAAACATAACCATAATCTAATTGCCTGTGGATAAATATAGTCCATTTGGGTCATCACCTTGACTGAAAGATGTGACAGAGAGGAGTAAAACCGTTCCTCCCTTCTTCTGTGTGTGTGTATAAGGTTACTGATAAAGAGAGGCCTTTTTGGTACCTAACCATGGTATTTTTGCAAGATAGGAATTTGCGTCTCTCTCTCTCTCTCTCACACACACACACACAAACACACACACTGGCCCTGTCATTTTCTTCAACAGTTTGAACTTGAAGCTTAACATATAATAATGATGCTTATATTTCTTGCTCCTTTCAAGAGGATATCACATATTTGTTTGAAATTTGATTGGAGAAACTTGTTTTTCTCACTTATTAAATCGTCTACTTTCTAGTAGGCATGGGATATTTATTTGATGTTCTATATCTGATGAAAAAAGTTAATGGTAAATTTTTTCTCCTTTACCGCATCCAGGGAATTGCAAAAGCTGTGGGAGACTGGTATCATGATCGTTATGCTGATAGCAAGACAATCGACTGTGCATACCCTTGTGATAAAAGTTGCCATAACTTAATTTTCAAGTGACATTTCTTGTTTCACATTCCAATTATTTATCATTAGCTTTCCTCAATTATACAGTAAGCCTATGAAATCTACATTTACTGGAAGAGGATCGAGAAATAAATCTTAAGCTTGCAGAGAAGGACCTGTAAGCTCGTCATTTGCAGAGACGATTTTATGGCGTGCACAATCATGTGCTGATTCTGCCAGATTTTTATATGTTTGGTTCTCTCACAAAATCTAATTAATCAAATATTCTTGGGAATCTTGTTTTGAAATTCATGGAAAGGAGGTTTCATTGTAAGGATTGGAAAGGTGCAATATAGACAAGCATGGAGCTACATTTTTATGATGCTTTACTCCCTGTTACTTCTTTTTCGTTCGTTGAATGCTAGTAATATGCTGCAGTTGTAAGAACACACATCTGCATTTCCTATTGTACTTTTAATCACGTAAAAAGTCGAATCTTGGGTCTTCTTGTAGGAATCATGTCTATTTGGACATGTATTAGCCATGCTTCGACCTAGACCTCCGCAGACTCAATTATTCCAGTTTTTTTTTTAACTGGGAAAAAAAGAAAAAAAAAAATTCGTCTGGCCCCAGTAATTTTTTTTTTTTTGGGATAAATTCCTCTCAGGTTATCTTTTCTTCTTTCATCGTCTCATAATTAATTGTATGATTAAGTAAATAAATTGACTGTAAGTCTTCCTCGTAAAGTATACCATACATCTGGAACTGGTATATGGTACATTATGAGGGCATCAATCATCCATTCCCGATGATAGACAGTGGAGACTACCGATGCATTCTTCATGATAGATGTTCACTATTGTAGGTTAATCTCCACCTTCCGCCATCAGGAATGGATGGTGGGATGTCCTTGTGGTTTACCATAAACCACATCCCCCTGGTGTATGATCTACTTTTCCAGTTCCTTTAACCACTCAGAAGTACTTTCATAGAAACCGCAACCCTCTTTTTAATAAGTCTACATTTGTGAAATTTATTAGTTTTTTGTTTCACAATGACTTTGTGCCTCTTTTTTTGTTTTTCCTTTTTACCTTGTAATGGGTAACTGGCAAACTAATTTGTAAATGATAAACGACAAAGAAAGAAGAGGGAAAAGGTCATTTCATATGAGTAACACAGAGTAGCATAGTCAATAACTCTTCCATCTTCAACAATGATGAAAAGAATTGAATGATAATATGTTCAATAGAAACACAAAAATCGCAATCGCATTGATCCCAAAAAAACAACAATCACAACATACAAACAGGCTCCTGTACAATACCTGAAAATCATGTAGTGGTCTCAACAGATATCAATGGAAATTTAGAGAGAGAGAGAGAGAGAGATAGAGGAGGAGGAGACTGTAAGAACCCTCCATCAGAGCCCAGTCACTAGGTTTCCAAAACCTAGTTTCTGTTGCTTACAAGCGAAAATTGAAAGTGAAAAGTGAAGTATAGTTAGTTGTAAAGGCTGCTATTTACAAGAGAAGATTTAGAAAGCAGTACCATCAATGGATTACACCTACCCATCTGAAGAAGATTGCAGTCACCAACTTGAACTCCAATAGTTTTTAGGGGGACGTCCTACCTGACCATGAACCAGGTAGCTTTGCCATAAAAGTTATCTGATCTTCCAACTTCCAAGAAGCAGGCCAATAATAAAAAGAGCTTTTATAACAGAGGAAATCGCCCTTAAGGCAGATAATATTTTTAAGTTTCTCATTCTTAAGTGAACTCTCTCTCTCTCTCTCTCTCTCTATCATTCATAACCAACCAAGAAATATTCTCAGCTGTAAAGGCGGGCTGTTGAAGCCACTGCTTGAGCCCATACTTTGAGCCTTGCCTTGACATCCCTTGGATGATCACCTGAAAAGTATGAGAACCCAATTAATTCTTCTATCACATAAGACTAAGAACTGGATTCTGTTCACAATATAAACTATTATCAGGTTGACCCCGTAGACCCATCATTATTGAGAAACAAAATCAATATTTGTTTTAGATGAAAAAATTAAGGCAACTATGTAGAAATGTGAAATATGCTTCTTTTCATTTGATACTATTGCTAAATCAGTTGGGTTCTTGGCAAATACTTCATAGATAGGAATTACCTCTTAATTTATTGATATTTATCTGAAAACCAGATAATTGAGATTAGTATAAGTGCAAACACAAATTCAAAAGAAGAGCTATGCAGGGTTGGAAAACATAGTCATAGTGAGTGACCTTCTAAGTCCTTTCCTTAGTGAGAGAGATTGTACATAGTCATGGATTGCTTTTTCCTAGTAAATTTTTCATTTTCTATTGATTTTTAATCCTTGATCATTCATTCCTTATTACAAAGAAAACTTTTATATATATATTTTTTAGTACCTGGACTGGAGATCCTCCAATGAGCAATTGGGGAGTTGCCAATGCTCTCTAACCCACTGCTACTGGTCTCAATGGTAGAGAAAGAGAGCTGGTGTAACCCGAACCCAAGGTCCCAACAAGCTTTCACCTCATCCAAATCCATACACATTGAATTTCTCTCTCTAGGTGTGGTGGGGTTTTGCTCATGAAACTCACTAGCGACTGAGTGGTTATCAGTCTCATCCAAACCATCCTCCATTTGAGCTCTCGACTTCCTAATCTCCCATGTCTTCTCAATCCGGCTCTCTCTAGCTCTCCTCAACCCACCTCTCCTGAACTTCTTCTTCCTCCCTCTCTCTCTAACCTCATTCTCACTAGCATAATGCTTAATATCGATCGGTTGGCTCAGAGGCTCCAACCTCAGCCTGTTCAATGGAGACCCAACACCCGAAAGCTCCGAATTCTGCCTCATATCCTTCCTTGGCTTGGAGCCATAAGGACTGAGCTCCTGATCTGAGCTATTCTCTCTCTCTTCAGCTGTTTCTTCCTTATCGTCCGATAGCTCTGCGTCTGCATCCCCGTCCGAGCTATCGAAGCTTATCTTGCTTCCTTTATCAGAGAGAGAGAGCTGAAAGAAGTGGTGCTCAAGATCATCATGGCTCTGTGATCTATGTCCAGTCTCAGGAGAACCCATGTTGCTCAAAGCCTTGAGACAGTGCTTTTGGAGAGTGAGAATGGTGGGGAGGGCAAAGAATTTGTAGAGACAAAGTGTGTGCCTCAGAAGAGTAAGAAGAGAATGGTAGGAAAGAAAGAGGGGAAAGAGGCCTTTTTAGAGAGAGAATTTGGTGAGGGATAAAGTGTTTTGCCGGTTCAGAGACTTATGGATGGCAATGGAAAGGGCTTGTGAATCAATCATTAAAGCATCAATCAAGCTGTGGGGATAAGGAGCAGTCATGCAAGGCATATATGGGTTGAGGAAAGTCATCCACCAAGAATTTCTCTACCTTTTTTTTTTTTTTTAGTTCTTCATTTCTTTACTTGTTCTATTGTTTCTATTTATTTTTGTAAATTCATTTCACTTTTTCTATATTTATTTTCCTCTTTTTTTGTTGGGGTGAGGCGGTAGGCCATCAAATGTAGGCCCAAATAGCAAATTACTAAACTAGCTTTGGGGGGCAAGGTGGCATTACGGATGAAAAATTACCTAAATGCCCCTTAATTTAACATTGCGAAGTAAAAAAAATGTAAAGCTGCTCCCAAGAACTCTATTGCAAATTTTGGCTCTCGTGATGGCTTGAAAACTTCTTCATTGTGAAATTTGAAGTTTTAAAATCGGACATCTAATGCATTTGTGAAAATTTGAAATAGACAGTTAAGTCTTGAAATCAAATTTTAGACATACAATTGTCGAGATTGAGATACACTTTTTTAGTGCTAAAATAAACAAGAATTTAACTGTAGCTTTAAAAACGAGGACCCTCAGCTCACCTTTTCCAATGATCAAAAAATTCTTAATCCTTTTACTCTTCTTCAAGGTGGACAAAGTTGGCCCTTGTGAAGAATCTCCTTTTATAGGCATGTATTTGCAATGGAAATAATTGTCAATACCTGAATTAAGGGTGATTTGTGTCAGTTTTTAGTGGTAATAATTGTCAATACACCTGTATTAAGGGTGATTTGTGTCGCTTTTTAGTGGTAAAAAATGCAAGGGAAGGGTATTTAAGTCAATTTTAGAAAAAAGGAGAAGAAAAGGGGATAGGGATAAGTTTTGTCTCCTTTTGTAAATGCTCCGAGAGGCATTCTAAAGGTTGGGCGTATTTTAGTCATTTATGTGAGGTGCATTGGGACCCACTCTCAAGAAGTGTGACACGTGTGGGTTTGATTTCTCAGCCGTATGTCGTGCCTGTCACCTTGTGAGAGGAGCTGTCTCATTAAGCCCCAACGAATATAAATCTAAATATTTTTGGGTTCTAATCTTGATCTTGAAAGGAAAATTGAGATGACTAAAATACCCTTTAATTTTTAAAAACATTGATGGTTTGAGTGAGGGAATAAAATGATTTTTTTCTATTTTTAAATTTTAGCTTTTTATGTACTTATAGCTCAAGAAGTGTCCATTACACTCTTGTTAGATTGGAAATTGAATTAATTGTATCTTATCCATTTTTAAAAGGAAGATTTCGATAAGTTTGCAAAATTCAAACTCGGGCTCGGAGCCCAACTCGCCCAGGTCGAGTCGGTTATAGAATCAATGCTAGCGATTGAAGCCTAACTCGGCCAAATTTCTTGGGGAAATAACGATAGTCTCTAGGCATGGGTGACTCGCCCGATTCTTGGGCCACTCCTTTCGGAGTTGCTTGGGTCCCCATCTCGAGCCGACTCAGTTTGTTCTGTGTTAGCTCAATGATTTTTAAATTACTCATTTCAACCATAGTTATTAAGGCTGGATCAATTCTCCCCCATCTAACCAATCAGGCTGCCAACTAGTGTTTCAACAATCTATGCCAAAGAAAAAATTAAGTTCAGTAAAAAAAAAAAAAATCAAAATCAATATTTGAACCACTTTGGCCAATGATCAACCAATTAGTTTGGTCTGACTGGTAAAATAAAGTTAGGCATTTTCTTATGATATATTTATGTTTTATAGTTATTATCATTTTTTTTTTTTTCTAAAAAATCTGGTTTAACCAATTCAATCAGTGGTCGAACTAGTTTGAATCGAACATGATGCTCCCTGGTTCGATGGGCAATTTGATCATGTCAACACTTATTTCAACAAACCTTATGATGTTTTCTTATTTATTCGTACTAAAAATGAAGGATGATATGAGAATATGATTAAGGGAATGCTAAAAAAGGACAACAGATAAGATCAAAAGGACATATTTAGAAGTAGGGAGAAAAAATATGGAGAGTTATGACCTTATTAACGGTATAATTCTTGAGAGAGCGGAATAGTGGATTAGGATTCACATAGCCACCTCCAAATAATTGAGAAAAAACTTGAATGATGATAAAAATAATGGCCCGTAAGATCTAAATTAAAGCTTAAGGGTATTTTTTGCTTTTACGAGTAATCTTAATCTTCTGGGAAAAATCTCTTCATAAGTTGCACAATGGACTTCACCGGGGCAAATTGGGGATATATTTTTGGGTATGTTGTAGAAAGCTTGCTGTACTGTTGACCTTTCTAACCTTTTGTCTTTTCTTTTCTTTTCGTTCTTCTCACACACAAGTCACAAGGAAACTAGAAAAGAGGAAACATCCAAAAAAAATAAAACTGAGACCTCCTCTGCAAACTCAGTTGTAAAAGTACTTTCAGCCTTTGAATTCAGGTTTTCACGGTTCCAAAGCATCACATTTTCCAACTACCGAGAAAAAATATAATTTTTGAGAAAGTTTATGTATAGAGAAAGTTTATTTAAGGTTGCAATTTAAAACATTCCAATTAAGATGTACCTCCAAATTATATCAAAATATGTAATTTTGGTATAAAAAATTCTTATGATTATCTGGGAATTTATTTTTATATCTAATTATAAAATTTTAAACTCCAAAAATGGTTAAAATCAAGTAGATCTATAAACATATGAAAATATTGAAAATAGACGATCTAGATGATGTATTGCAAGATGCACTATTTTTGACGCTCGAAATCCTTTTTTTTTATTTAAATATTCATACATCTCGATGTCGAGATGATCAATTAGAGATTTTTCCAACATTAAAACAGCCTTTTTCGATGGATTTTTGAGGTGCATCTATAATTCTACATTTTAAGGTTGTAATCTTAGATAAACTTTTTTCTTGTTTTAATGTTGAAAATTCCTCTAATTGATAATCTGACAACGAGATGTAAATATATATATATAT